TCTTCCTCATCCATGAAACAGAATTTATATTATAGCCCTCCGTATAATTTATAAGGTAACTAAAACAAAATGTGGTTTTCTTTTTTCTTTTTATACAGCATCTCTCTGTGTAACCAGGCTGGGGTGCAATGGTGCGATCTCAGCTCACTGCAACCTCTGCCTCCTGGGTTCAAGCGATTCTCCTGTCTCAGCCTCCCAGGTAGCTGGGACTACAGGTGTGCACCACCATGCCCAGCTAATTTTTGTATTTTTAGTAAAGACAGGGTTTCACCATGTTGGCCAGGATGGTCAATCTCTTGACCTCACCCACCTTGGCCTCCCAAAGTGCTGGGATGTGTGTGTGTGTGTGTGTGTGTGTGTGTGTGTGTGTTTGTGTGTGTGTGTGTGTGTGTGTGAGAGAGAGAGTTGATTGGCTACAAAGTATTTTTAAGATGGCCAGTTGATTCTTTTCCTAAAGTCATGCTCCTAGACCTACACTATTAACTGAAAATTTTATGAATTATCAATTACACAGTCTAAGTGCATCTATTATACTTTCCAAAAAAAAATCATGTCTTTGCAATAGTGAAGTTGCAATTCAAATTTCTCATCCTTTTGGGAGCTGTTGAGGTCACTGTTCCTAGCACAGCATCATAATTAAGAACAAGTCTTCTCTGCTTAGTTCTGTGACATTAGGCAGTTTATAACCTCCCTGTGTCTTATTTTCTTCATTTAAAAAGTGGGGATAATCATAGTACCTTCTTCGTTGTATGGTTATTACTTACTGATTAGTGTATATTTTTGGGAAGAGGAGTCAAGAATGATTTCCAGTTTCTGGACAAGGATGACTAGGAGTATGAGGTGCTATCAACTGAAATAGGGACTATAAGGGCAGGAGCAGATATAAAAGTAAGATCACAGTTAAAATGTGCTCATTTGAGATGCCTGCCAATTCCATCAGACATCAAAGATGTTCAATGTGGATTTGAAAATAAGCTTAAGACTTTATGGGTTTTGGAGATCATTTTCACGGAATAATGTATTGAACAGCTCAGGGAACTTTGAGCTATTAAAGGTAGACTTTAATGTAGTCCAATGTCTTAGTTTGACAGTTGAGGAAACAATTATTTAGGATACACTATTTGTGATAAAGTAATGTGGTCTCTTCTTCTTGAATCTGCGACTCACAGTAATGAATAGTGTTTGGCAAAAGTGACACTGTGCTACTTCCAGGCCTAAGCTTTAAGATGACCTGGAAACTTCTGCTTTTGTGCTCTTGGAATCCCTTCACCCCATTTAGAAGTCTGGCTATGCTGTAGAAGAGACCAAATGAAGATGTCACAAAGAGAGGGAGTGGTTATGACACACCGCAGGGAGAGACAGCATCCAGTTGACCCAGTGTCCCAACCCCAGGGGAACCCCCTGATATACGCAGCACATAGATTATCACCCTCCAGACCGGGCTGAGCTAAATGTTGCCAACCCACAGAATGATAAGAAATTTAATTTTTTAAAGCCATTAAGATTAAGGGTAATTTGTTACATAGCATTAGTTAATCAAAACAATGGAGGAATCAGGACAAAAATCCATGTCTTCTGAGCTCTAGAACGTAGGTCATCTAGGGCAAGGAACTCATACTGTTTATTCTTTAATAAAAACTTAATAAAGAATGCAGAATGAATAACTGTGCTTATTTGACCTGTTTTCTCAACTGCACAATTTGTATAATAATTAACTTATTGACTAGAATGTATTCTATATCCTGGATTTAATGACTGCTATCATTTAACCATGAGATAGATCCAGCCAGTCACCCATCCATCCATCTGTCCATCCATTCATCCATCCATCCATATCCATTTCACCTATATATTATCTACCCATTTCTATTTCTTGGCCTTCTATTTTTTGGCCAACGAACTAGACTGCAATTCTATATCAAATGTCTGTTTTACTCTGTGGCTTTCTGGCCCATGAGTAAGTATAGGAGAGCTGAGATGGAAAAAGCAAAGTTTTGCCATTATTACCTTAATTTTAAGTCTTTATAATTTTCATAAGGGGAATATCAATGGCACCAATGTTACTTTCACCGCTGAGTGTCTAAAACTTGTATTGAATTTTAACTGTTCAAGAAACATGTTTGCTTGAGAAAAATCACCAGAATTTCAAGACAATAGTCACATCTTCTGAAAATAAACTACTATTCAAGTAAGTGGAGTTCAGATAATGACAACATGTCATCTTCCAAGGAGACAATGTTTATGTGGCATGCATCTTGGAGGTAAATCATTTTTCCCTTTTTATTTTATTTTTTTCAATATACAGTCCTATATGTTTGGGGGTTCAGCATTAGATATTACAGTAAGGCAGCAGGGATCTTATTCATTTCTATATTAGAATTATATTTGTTTGGGAACTGCGCAGGAGTCGGTCTCATGGCATCTGACAGCTTGACAAGGCTTGTTGCCATGGAAAACGTTGGTGATGTTATATAAATATATTCCTAGGTCATGAATTGCCATGTATTTTTTGGACATTGATGCTAAGGGGGAAATGACTAAACATTTTTTTTAGGAAGGAAGAATAACATAGTAAACAAACAATAATAACAAATAATAAATATATGTGTATTCAGTAAACTGGTGCTCTGTTTTCTTAAGCATTAGACTTGTGTTCTAACAAGCCTTTTAGCTATAAAAGTTCACTTATTGCCAAGGCTTTTTCCCCCCTAAAATATTCTTATTACCAGTCATTTTGCAATATTAATGGTTCCACTATTAATAGACTGGGAGACAAGGGAGCTATTATCCTTGCTCTCTATCTGTTATTCCATTAAGTAAGACTGCCAACCTCTGACTGTTAGCAGCTCTATAATGAACCATGTGCTGGAGCCACGGGGTATATCCTAAGTAAAAGTTTTCCTCACATGTTGTTTTTGGTGCATACTATGACTAGACAGGAAAAAGGTACAACAACAAGATGCAAGGGGAGACACTCCATTCAGGTTAGGATCTAAAATAGTCATTTTCTTTGGATTTGATGAGAGGTGAAGAAGTGTTGGGGAAATGATGTGGAAAGTCATGGGTGAATTTCTCTGTAATTTGTCCCCCTCTTATGACTGATGCCCTTTGTGAGAGCTCCAATGGTACCTACAATCTGACATATACAAGCCTGTTATCCATTCTTGCTTTCGCTAACACACTATCATTTATTCAACCTATAAAGAGACCTGCCAGATTCTTATGCTTGGGCAAACACTATCTTAGGAGTCAGTGTTAGCTTCCTGTGTTGGGATGCTGCCTTCACTATTACCACTGTGGTCTCTGCTGTTGTTCACCGTCTGAGTCAATAACGGATGTTACACGTACCACCTCTTCATGCCAAAACAGAGAGTGTGCATGACCCTGATTACTAAGAAATCCATCTTTTTCTAAGTGAATGAAAAGTGGCTTTTTACCACAGAATCTAGATCTGTTGAGTTCTAACAAGCCTTTTAGCTATAAAACAAGCCTTTTAGGCTCTCTGTCTATTGTGAGATAAGCCACAAAGGGTTTTCACTAAACTGAAGTACACACATTTGCAAATTATGTACTTTTTAAAATGAATTTACAGAAATCCAGTTTATTTTTTAGTAATACCACTTGTATTCACTTAAATTGTGCTGGGTTTTCTTGAATGGGAAGAAATATCCAGTTATCAATTACCCTGGATTTGGTGCCACATATGAAGATAGTGCTGCAGTAGGCAAGGTCATCTCATGTGTAGAAAGATATACAAACAAACGTAGAGGGCATAGTGATAGAGAAAAATGATCTTATTTTATTTTTCATTTGATTTTTATCATTGCAGATTACTTTTCCGAACTTCATCTCCATTGTTTCTCTCCCAAATCCTGCACGGTGTATAGATAAGTAACATTTTACCCATTTTACAACAGGAAAATGGAGATTTAGTAATTTGCTCAAGTCACACATCTTTAAAGTGACAGAGGTATGCTTCCCACTAAATAGTGAAATCTTGCTAGCAATGTATATAGGTCTTAATACAGACAGAATTTGCTTTGACATGCTTTCTCTATGCTCAGCTAGAACTCATTTTCATTAAGAAATTCTCAAGCAAGGATGGAGCCAGGAGAGGAATAACTGGGTGGAAACTAACTTCTCCATGGCTTCTTTGGCTGCATTGCCTACTGTGGAAATTGATCCAGGTGGAAGGTTGCCTATTTTGGCAACCTTTGCCCACTGCGGAGGTTGATCTCTTTGGGTGAGATGTCCTGTTGTTTTTCTCTCTACATGCTTGAAGCTTTCATTGCACTGGAAAATAAAGAGACAGAAATAGGAGGGATTTGATGACTTTCAAACTAAGGAAAGCAACTCATTTTCTTTTTAAACACAGCCCTCTGACTAATTTTTGCTGTAATTTATCCTAGTAATTTTGTCTGCACGAAAATGAAGCAGAAGTAACTTTTGCTTGAATTACCTCTGTTCTCTAATTTACCTCACAGATATAAATGTAAACCATGAGGAAGTAAAAAAGTAAGTCCACATATACAAGTAAATTTGAATTTTTTTCAAAATTTTTTACCTCATTTAACATTAATGTTCTTATTTTCTCATTTTTAAAAATAAAAGATGTATTTTAATTTTAAAAATAGAGCTCCAGTTTGTTTTTAGAGAGACTCAAGTATACCTTAACTTTTGTGCATAAGAATGGTGATAAATTATAATAAAATCTGAACTTAAAATGTGATTAAACATGTTCAGTCATTCTATTTCATATATTACAATTCTTCTGATATTCTGTTTCCCTTTTCTTTAAAAATACAAACAAACCAAATGCAATCATTGATTAAGCATATTCCAAGCATTTTCAAATAAGTAACTTCATTTATTCTAGAGTGGTAATTATTAGGTAGTGAATAGGACTAAGTATAAATAAACTAGCTCATCTTCTTTCAAGCATACGGTAGGTATGTGTTTCCCCACCCCTTTGACGTTAGATACAACCATGTGACTTGCCTTAACTAATGAAGTCTGAGTAGAAGGACATATGTCACTTCCAGACAGGAACACTTAATCACCAGAGCAGCTTTTCTTCTCCTGCAGCAATCATGAAAGCATGGGAATATACCATCCGTAAGTCTGGCTCCTTGAGTGACTGCCAAAAAGAATCATTAGGTTTTAGAAATTATTCGTTACTGCAACATAGCCTACCCAATCTTGACTGATACAGCTCTTTAAAGATGAGGAAACAAAGACTGAGAGAAATGAAGTGACTCATTTAAAATGACATAACAGAGTTGTAAACCAAGTTTTCTGGTTCTTCTATCCTGGATTTGCAAACACAATCCAGTATAATTTGGTTCCCCAAGAACCTCAAAATTAAGCAAAATCTGATTTAATGCACATGTGTTATATATGTTCGCATACAAAATAATTGGTTCTTTTGATTGAATTGAAAGAGCGTATTAATTAAAAGAATAATCAGGTTGGGTATTAAAATGAACAAAGATTTAATCTACTAATAGAAGTCATTTCATATATAAACAAAATTGCAGTGTTGAAGCTTTCTAAATATCTGGAACAGTGGGCTCTCTGGGTTACTTAAACCTGCTAGATTGCATATTCAATCACTAGATGACTCCAAATAGGTACCTACACCTAAATACTTACTATGAGAGATTGGGAAGGGAAAAGCAGCCAAGACAGTTCTTAGCATATCCTGTGACTACATGAGACTTCTAACATAATTGTAAGAAGCTTAGAAAATTCACTTGCCATTTACACTAATACCCATAGATCCCTGTCATCTGGACATACTGATCTATGTTCAAGTGAAAATGTACTTTGCAAACAGGCTTTCAGTTGAAATATATTTTTGCAAGATTTCATGACTTGGCAGCCCAATTTCTTTTTTTATGCTAAAGAGATTTTTTTAAAAATGAGTTTAATATCTTGGCCACTTCAAAGTCACACAAATTTCACACTCAGTTTTCACTTTGTGCTCGCCATTACTGGTGGTATTTTAATATCCCTTGTTTAACTATTTTTTATGTCATTTGCTTTTTGTTTTTTTTGGCAGACTGTGTCCCATTTCCTTTAAGCTTTAACCAATGCCAATTACTTTATATCTTTACCTGATGTTTTGCTCACTTCCTCTATAAGCTAATCTTTCAGGATTTATGGGATATGTATGATTTCTTATTCAAAATAGTCTTAGGAGCAACAGAACTCAAATTCCACAGGAAACAGGAAACATTTTTTATAATATCCATTATATGTTTAAGTAGCAGAGTGGTCATAACTCACTTAAATCTTCAATTCCTCAGTTTCTCCACCTACTAAATATGGATTACTGCCATCTTCTTCATTTAAACTCAAGGACTGTTTTGGAAGAAAATGAAATTATGTTTCTAAATCTCTTCTAGTCTTGTAAAAAGAACCATATATACTTAAGACATATGAATCAGACCTGTGCACATTTGGGACAATGACGTTTTAAACAATGATGCTGTCACATTTGGAATGAGCTATCATGTTCAAAGTTCAATGGAGCTTTCAAATATTAAGGGAAATCACAAGTTGATTTCACATACGACCTATATCGTTTTAGACATTATGTCTTAAAAACCAGATATTCTAATTTTAAAAAATCAGAGCCAACAAAGAAACTTGATTATCTGGTTTAAGTATCAGATTATTTGCTATTTCTGGAAATATTCTTGACATTAATAAAATAGCTCACAGCTCTTCCTATGCTTACTGTATTTCAGTTTCCATTCAGGTGTTTATTACTTTATTTCATTTATTGCGCTCTCTCTCACAACAACCATATGAACTTAGCACTGTACTTATCATCTTCATTTTATGCATTAAGAAACAAAGCCATAAGAAGTTCATCAAGTGGTTCAAGGTTACAGAGCTAGTAATCGGCAGAGGTCAGATATGAATCCAGGAAGCTTAATTCTAGACCCACATCTATAACTGCTGCCACACACATTTGTCATTATTGGTGAAATCACAATGGGAAACTTATGTAAAGATTCTAGATTCCTGGACAAAATCTAAGGCACTATGGAAGGTTTTTGACTTCAGAAGTTTCATCAATAGTATCCCTCCAGATTAGAAAACTGAGGAAGTACCTAAATTGGATCAGAGAGAAAAGGATTATCATAATGTTGGGAAATCCCTGAACGACATCAAATGATGTAGTTGAAACTGGATGTGTTTGGTCTCATGAAGAGATTAGAAACAATATTACAGTTGGGTTAAAACACTTTAAAAGCTATCCTGTGATAAAGAAAGGAGGCTGACTCTGGATTGATCCAAAGACAAAATAAGGGCTTTTAGTAAAAGTTACAGTGTGGAGACAGATTTGGAATTAGTCTGTTGATCAACCATTTATATGAACACCTTCACATGGGTAGCTTCTCTGGAGTGCTGTTCACAAACAGGGTACTAGATAAAAACCTATTATCTGAAGTTTTGTCTGTAATCCCAGCACTTTGGGAGGCAAAGGCAGGAGGATTTCTTGAGCTCAGGAGTTAGAGACCAGCCTGGGCAACATAGGGAGGTCTCTAAGGTCTCCATGTCTACTAAAAGTTAAAAAGAAAAATAGCCAGGTGTGGTAGTGCACACTCGTAAAATCTCAGCTACTCAGGGGGCTGAGAAGGGATGATCCCTTGAGCCTGGGAGATCCAGGCTGCAGTGAACCGAGACCATTCCACTACACTGCAGCCTGGGTAACAGAACAAGATCCTGTCTCTAAAAAAAAAAAAAAAAGTACAAAAAATAAATAAATAAGAAGTCTCTCTGATTTATTTGGATGGAAAATAGTGTCTGTATTGGTTGTTGGGGGCAACTTTAAAAGGAATCAGTATTGGTTGTTGGGGGCAACTTTAAAAGGAAACACTGGCAATGGGAAGAAGACAGAGCTCCTGGAGTTTATCAGGGAGATTTCCATAGAGCTCAGTCCATCGAGCAGCCTTAGTATGTGCACTAGGAAGAGTGCTCAATGAACTGTCACTCCCTCTAATTCAAGTAACACTGTTGGAGGTGTTCTCAATTATAATGCATGAGGAATTTTGACTAATGGCTTAAAATAAGAGAGTACGTGTCAGCCCATATCTGTCTATTTCATTGAAGCAAACAGGCATAACCTACTTTGGACACCTATATCTGTATCTGTGTTTTCTTCTCCCCAGTCCCCCAATTGTCTAATCATCTGAAAATGTAAAGTGCTTAGGCTGGGAAACCTATTCAGTCAAGGATTCTGTGTTCACAGTTGAATTCCCAGCACTAGCACAGAACCCTACATCTAACAGGACCTCAATAAATAATTGCTGAATGGATCACAGTAAATGCAATAGGTAGTCATTCCTAGGAATTATGTAAAAATGTTCAGCCAGAATGAATTGAGTTTATTAAAGTTTCAGGACCTCTGGAAGTGTTTTTAATCTTTCCTGTCATTTTATGTTTTGACTCCAAAGACTTGAGTTCCAAACTTAAGGAAATTGAAGATAAGTGGTCTAGAGAGTGCCAGTTAAAACAGCAGAGCTACCCATCATTCTCAAGAGTTTCTCTTTTACTGTTAGACCTGAACTTAGCTGTTTTTCCAGAGAGCCCTAATTTCATAAAAGGAGGCTTGCACGGCAACTTAAACAGATTATGGCAATGCTAGTGAACAGACTTCTGGATTTAACAGCTTTCTAAAAAATTAAGAACACAGCACCAGACAGCCTGCAGGATACCACTGCAAAAACTTTCATTATATCTAAACAATTGACTGTCAATGCCAATAACAGATTCCTTCTGGGTTCCATTCTTTCCCAACCAAAAGGAAACCATTTATTCACACTGTAATGTGTCCTTCATGTGAAACATTCTAAGTCGTATAATGTCTTGCAGATGATGTTGTTGAGAAAGGCTTCTGACCCTGGAACAACTCCTGACCAACTTGGGTTATTCTGCATTTATTCTGTTGCTTTCTCACAACACTCAATGTGTTCCTAGCCTCTGAATAAAGGATGTATACAATAGAATCAAGCCAAGTGCAGTAAAGGGAAGTGAAAGGCTACAATTGGTAGCAAAACTACTAATGGTGTGACTGGCTTGTTTTCAGGATGTTCTCTTCTTATTTTCTTTCCTCCATGATTTTGAACATGGTAAGTTTTAGAAAATGAATTATGTGTCTTATTCATATGAAAGCAGGGTAACTATAAACAAAAGTAGAACATGCTTTAACTCATACTATTTCTGCCTTGAGTGTTGCAAATAAGAAAATGCTAAAAAATGACCCCAATGCTTTAAATACTACCATGTATATGGTTACATCAGTTGCAAACTGACCACTAAATGGTGATGTCCTTGCTGTGGGAACATTCAAGACTGGGGAGCAGTCATTCTAGCAATGCTGCATGCTTGCACCATTACATTAAAAACCGAAAGAAAAATTTGAGTGAAGGAACTAGGTCAGTTTAGCCCTCCTATGATCTACCTCCCATACTGTGAAAGGGACAGAATGTCTCCATTAAACACGGAAACTCTTCATTTCCTTGAAGATAAATAGATTAATCAGTCAACAACTAATTATCAAACTATCAGACACATAAATGCACAGCACTATACTAAATCTAGGCAAGCCATGCAAAGATAAATGCCTTCATTTGCCTTAAAATTAACCCCAAAGCTCTAATAATGTAATTTTACAGAACACATAAACCCAAATCAGTGATTGATTTTCAGGCATGTGAATTTGAAAGCTTTGATTGAAAATGTTCTAAACATTTTTAATCTTTTTTCCTTTTTACCCATAACAGTAAAACTGAAAATAAGCACTTACACAACCTGGCCAAATATTTAGATAAAGAATGAGTTCGTAACCAGCAATATCTTAAAATGTGTTTGAGTTATTCTATATGCTATTTAAATAGTTAAACTGTCAGCCTGGGATTTTGTATATATTCCTCATTAGGTTGCCTCAAAGACCCCAGGGTAGGTATATCTGCATTTTAAAATTTTGTATTTTTCCATGGTTTATATATCCCATAAAATGCCTTGAGAATTTTATGAGGGATGTTACATTAATATGTGTTATTATAAATATGATTTAAATATCTAAAGCATTGCAGAGTGATTACTGTTCAATAAGGCAGTGTGCATAAAAAGGTTATCTCCACACTGTGCTTAGGTTTCTACAGTATAATATAATGAATTGTTCAATATAGTTTGCATGCTATTTGTCTCTGTTTCTTCCTAGGCTCTAGGGAAGCTGATGTGCAACCCTCTAACAAGGCAATCATAAATTGCAGAACAATAAACAGCCCTGGAGATTTTTAGATAGTATGTGGTTAGCATGCAATCCATCTTGGGAAACTTGATTTAATACCTCAAAGGAGCATCTCTGACAATGCTCAACATTGTTTTAAACTGCTGCTAAATCAATTAGTGCATTGGAGAATCCTAATGTCTCTGCCTCACTCATCGCCCATCCCAAGAATTCTGGCTGGTTATCTTGTAGAGAAAAAGATTTAGGGAACCACTGCATGGATGCACTTGGGTTCCCTGGAAAACATTAGAGATAATCCTGCATGAAAGGAGGGGTAAGCCAACCTCCCAACCTCTTTAAATCATCAAGATCGATGTGGGCGTCACCTTCAAAATTCATTTCAATTTTTCTGAGTTACCACAACTGTAGCCAAGAAGGATAAATTACATAAAAGGTAACTATTATTCTAAAATCAGGACTATGAGGTTAAGTACAAAACAAAAAGTCTTAAGAGACAAGTTTGTTTGCTTTATTTATGCATTTCCTTTCCTACTGAAAACATGTATAGATACTATCTAATCCTCCCATATTTATTAACACGTAACTTAAAAACAAAAGTTAAAAACCAGCAGTAGACAAAACTCTCCTAATAGAAAGAGGTATCAACAATTTCTTAGCTTGTGATAGATTATTCAATCCTTTTCTAACTGCACTAAGTTGCAATCATTAACATAACAATTGTTATGTAAGGAGAAAGAGCATGACTTCTCTCCAAATTTCACAATATGCCCTCCTTTCCTTGTATTTTTCCTCATTAGTTTATTGAAGACAGTTCTCAGGCAATTCCCTGTCTTTCTTTTCATTTCTTGTTACAGTGCAATGGTCTTGCTTTTCCAAGACTCACAGAGCCAGGTAGTTCCTGCTTCCTGCAGGGTTAAATCACAGATTGTGTGGAAGTGAAGCCTTCTGCCGCATCCTTCTATCATACTACAGTTCTTTCCTTTTAGCACAAGTTCACTCAACTTATGGATCCAGGACCAGCTGACTGAATTAAGAAACAAAGCTCAATGAAAATGAAGCTAAATGAAATAGAGAAGCTAATTAGTCAAACTAATTGAGTTTCCTTTTTTTTTTTAAGCAATGCTAAGTAATTTTTTTACCTGATTTTTAAAAAATGGGTAGCCTTTTTTGGTGATGTATAAACACAACCAATGTTTTCCTCAACCGAAGGTTAGTTTCCATTGGCAAACAAAAAAATTCATGATTTTAAGCCTCTATTATTTCCTTCAAAGATGCATAGGGTATGATTTTTCTGGAAGTAATTTAAAGTTCATATTAACTCCCATATGAAATAAGAAGCCCTACCATATTAGCTTCTATATGTAATGGGAAGCCAAAGAGTAAAGCCTTCACACCTGCCCTCCAAATAATTGAATGAATATTTAAATAGCCTGATTCATAATTTTGAGTCAAGATGAAGCTCATTTTTCTAATCCATAAGTGCTATGGACAATGTTATATTTCAGTTTCTTTATAATGTTATTTCCAAACAAAGTAAGACATAAGTGAATAATTTCTCAATTACTTACATCTCTTGCTTCATTCTCTTGTTCCTTTTTGGGGTCGTTAGTATGTTTGAATAATAAATTACAGTATAAATGAGTATAATTGTTCCTGTGTTTTGAAAATTTATTTCTCTCATATGCATATTTATCTCATTTGCATATTTGTTTGGTTC